TTTACTCCAAGATGCAGATCAACTGTCAGGATCTCTAGCTCTAGGTCTGATGAGTTTTCCAATCATAATCTCTGTTTCAGAAAATTCCAGGCCCATAGATACTGTGCTGGCCCAAGTCTTGACCATATATTGGGTGGGGCATTCTGCTCCTAGGCTTAGTTTTTGCAGAGTGAGAATATAAAAATTATCAGTCACAAATCCTAAAAAAAAATCCATGTACCTGTTTTGGAAACACTAAGGTCAATTGAAACATATACAATAACACAATCTAGTGAAAAAAAGGAAATGTTGATATATCAGAATATACATCTGAGTATCTTGTTTGAAAGAAAGGTCATATGCAAAAGCAGAGCTTTACATCCTTTTTCTCCTCAGTGTCCTTTGAGAGCCTTTCTTCATAAATATGTATGGCACTATTGATACATTCTGAAGAGGTGAAGCCCAGCTCATAGCTCCACCATCTTAGAAGCCATATTAGTTGTCCATTGCTGCCTTTAAAAATTACTCCAAGCCAGCCCAGGCAAAAACTTCATATAGTTTAAGGCCAGCTCAAGCAAAAAGTTCACATGACCCCAATTTCAAACAATAACTGGGCTTGGTGGCATGCACTTGTCATCCCAGCAACTGCTAGAAGCATAAATAGAACTGCAGTCAAGGCTGGCCTGGGCAAAAAGTGAGACCCTATCTCCAAAATAACCAAAGTATAAAGGAGTGACTTTTGTGGTGGAGCACTCATATAGCATTCACAAAGCCCTAATTTGAAACCCCAGTACCACAATAGAAATTTATTGTCTTATTGTTCTGGTGGCCAGGTGTTGTCAAGATTGGTTCCTTCTCAGGCTCTAGGGGAAAATCTGTCCCACACCTCTCTTCTAGCTTCCAGTGACTGTGACCATGGTTGGTATTCCTTTGCTTGTAGAAGTATCACTCCAGTCTCTGTCTCCATTTTCTCATGGCTTTCCCTTCTGTGTGCTTCTGTGTCTCAAATCTCTCCCTTCTCTTGAAAGAATTGTTGGGTTGAGAACGCATCTTAAATTCATGATGATCTTATCTGGGGATCCTTAGCTTAATTACATTTGCAAAGACCTTATTTCCATTTAGGTCACATTCAAAGGTACTCAGGGTAGTATCTGGATATATTTTTGGAGGACACAATTCGACCCACTACTGAAATGTTAAGAAACTGAAGCATACTTACTAATTTGGGTCACTTAATGAGAAATCTTACATAGATATAACCTTAATATGTCCAGAATAATCAGATTTAAGTGGCACAAAGGAATAAGTTAAACACAGTTATGGAATTTCTATACTCCAAATTAGAGAACACACCTGTCTACTACAACTAGGCATTCCTCTTACTTTTGAAGTAAAAAATATTATTTCAGCTTGTGACCTATTATTATAAAAAATATTACTGAGAACAATTTTCAACTGGTGAAATTTTTTTCTTGTTAGCTTGAACCAACGTACATTGCATACACACAATAAAACAACTTGCATATACTACACAATACACACCCCTAGAGCTAAACCTGTGGGATTCTTGCATTTTTATTTGAGATTGATAAAATCTTTTCCTGAAGAAATTCTTTTCCTGACCTTGCTGGGCCAAAACCCACCACAATGCAGCCTTACACATAACAGAAAAGATAGCTACAGAAATCAGAACAGGTATGTCTGAGATCACAATTAGAATGTCCAAGTAAAATTCTTTAAATGGTGACTCCCCAAATACTAGAATATTCACGTAGTAATACAATGCTTGAGCAAGTAAGTTCCAGTCATTTCTTAATTTTATCCAAATAAATTAATGCTAGTTTCAGGTTTTGTTATAGGTACTACACATGCCCTGTAACACAAAATAAAACCAGATGAAGTGAGATTAACCTAAGAGGGAAGTCTCGATGACGTCATAGATCACATGTTCTAGGAAGGGGAGCTAGAAAACAAAATCAGCAGGCTGGGCATAGGACTGCCATTTCAACTTGTCATTTTCTTTTTTTTAAAATTCATTTATTTGTATGTGCATACATTGTTTGGGCCATTTCTCCCCCCTACTCCCTGCCCCCTCTCTCCCTCCTTCCACCCCCTCGCTTCCTGTTCTGCCCTTTTCTCCAATTTTGTTGAAGAGAAGGCATAAGCAATAATAAGAAAGACAAAGCGTTTTTGCTAGTTGAGATAAGGATAGCTATACAGAGAGATTCCTAGCATTGCTTCCATGCACAAATGTATTACAACCATAATTGATTCATCTCTAACTGATCTTTTCACTAGCTCCTGATCCCCTTCCCATATTGACCTCTGTCACTTTAAGGTTTCTGTATTAGCTCCTCTGCTGTGGGGACATCAAACATATTCATGTTTTGGGTTTCTTACCTATCCGCATAACTCCTGTATGTGCTCTCCCCTTAGCGTGTGACCCAAGTCCAACAACACTGCTGTATTTGCCCGAAATCTAAAGTCCATATATGAGGGAAAACATGATTTTTGGTCGTCTGAGCCTGGCTAACCTCGCTCAGAATGATGTTCTCCAGTTCCATGCATTTGCTTGGGATTGATAAGATTTCATTCTTCTTCATGGCTGAGTAAAACTCCATTGTGTAAAAGTATCACATTTTCTTAATCCAGTAGTGGGGCATCTTGGCTGTTTCCATAACTTGGCTATTGTGAATAGTGCTGCAATAAACATGGGTGTGCAGATGCCTCTGGAGTAACCTGTGTTGCATTTCTTTGGGTATATCCCCAGGAATGGGATTGGTGGATCATATGGTAGATCAATGTTTAGCTTTTTAAGTAGCCTCCATATTTTTTTCCAGACTGGTTGCACTAGCTTACATTCCCACCAGCACTGTACCAGGGTTCCTTTTTTCCCACATCCTTGCCAACACCTGTTGTTGGTGATGTTTTTCATGATAGCTATTCTAACAGGGGAGAGGTGGAATCTTAGTGTGGTTTTGATTTGCATTTCCTTTATGGCTAGAGATGGGGAGCATTTTTTTCATGTGTTTTTTGGCCATTTGAATTTCTTCTTTTGAGAAACTTCTGTTTAGTTCAGTTGGCCATTTCTTTATTGGTTCATTGATTTTGGGAGATTTTAGTTTTTTAAGTCCCCTGTATATTCTGGTTATCAGTCCTTTGTCTGATATAGAGCTGGCAAATATTTTCTCCCACTTTGTGGGTGGTCTCCAGTTTAGAGACCATTTCTTTTGTTGAGCAGAAGCTTTATAATTTTATGAAGTCCCATTTGTCCATACTTTCTCTTAGTTGTGGAGCTGCTGGGGTTCTATTGAGGAAGTCCTTCCCTATACCTATTACTTCCAGAGTATTCTCTGTTCTTTCCTGTACTAACTTCAGAGTTTCGGTCTGATATTAAGGTCCTTGATCCATTTTGAGTTGATACTAGTACAGGGTGATAAACATGGATCTGGTTTTAGTTTTTTGCAGACAGATAACCACTTTTCCCAGCAACAATTGTTGTCTTTGGTGACTTTGTCAAAAATAAGGTGGGCATAGCTGTGTGGATTCATATCCTGGTCCTCTATTCTGTTCCACTCATCTTCATGTCTGTTTTTGTGCCAGTACCATGCTGTTTTTATTGCTATTGCTTTGTAATATAGTTTGAAGTCAGGTGTTGTAATACTTCCAGCTTTGCTTTTTTTGCTGAATATTGCCTTAGCTATTCGCAGTCTCTTGTATTTCCAAATGAACTTTACGGTAGATTTTTCAATCTCTGTGATGAATATCATTGGGATTTTGATGGGAATTGCGTTGAAAATGTAGATTGCTTTTGGTAGTATAGCCACTTTTACTATGGTGATTCTACCAATCCAGGAGCACGGGAGATCTTTCTACCTTCTATAGTCTTCCTCGATCTCTTTCTTCAGGGGTTTGTAGTTCTCCTTGTAGAGGTCATTCACATCCTTTGTTAACTTTACTCCTAGGTATTTCATTTTTTTGAGGCTATTGTAAATGGAATTGTTTCCATACATTCTTTCTCAGTTTGTTTGTTATTGATGCATAGAAAAGCTAATGATTTTTGTAAGTTGATTTTGTATCCTGCCACCTTGCTGTAGCTGTTTATGGTGTCTAAGAGTTTTGGGGTAGAGTTTTTTAGTCTTTAAGGTATAAGATCATGTGTTCTGCAAATAAGGATATTTTGACAGTTTCTTTACCTGTTTGTATTCCTTTTATTTCTTCTTCTTGCCTAATTGCTCTGGCTAGGAATTCCAGTACTACGTTGGATAGGATCCAAAATTGAACCAAGAGGATATCAATCACCTGAATAGATCTATAACACAAAATGAAATTGAAGCAGCAATAAACAGTCTCCCAAAAAAGAAAAGTCCAGGACCTGATGGATTCTCTGCTGAATTCTATCAGACCTTTAAAGAAGAACTAATACCAACTCCCCTTAAATTGTTCCACAAAATAGAAAGGGAAGAAACACTGCCTGACTCATTTTATGAAGCCAATATTACACTCATCCCAAAAACCAAACAAAGACGCCTCAGAAAGGAGAAATATAAGCCAATCTCCTTAATGAACATCGATTCAAAAATCCTCAATATAGTAATGGCAAACCGAATTCAACAACACATCAGAAAGATCATTCACAATGACCAAGTCAGCTTCATCCCAGGGATGCAGGGGTGGTTCAACATATGCAAATCTATAAATGTCATACAGCACATTAATAGACGCAAAGACAAAAAACCACTTGATCATCTCGATAAATGCAGAAAAAAGCCTTTGATAAGATCCAACACCACTTCATGATAAAATCTCTAAGAAAACTATGTATAGAAGGAAAGTACCTCAGCATTGTAAAGGGTGTATATGACAAGCCTACAGCCAACATCATGCTTAATGGAGAAAAACTGAAACAATTTCCCCTAAAATCAGGAACAAGACAAGGGTACCCATTATCCCCACTCCTATTCAACTTGTCATTTTCAAAAGATTTTGCCTTATTTTTTAAAATCAGTTTTAATACTAACCTGTTCTAATGGAGAACTTGCAAGTAGAATCATGTCTTTCCAAGCACGCTTTTCAAACTCCTCAATGTAAGCAGGGATGGCTTCATCAGCCTCTTTGTGGACTTCAGGGCTCATACTGGAACTCATGGGCTCTTCAGAATCCAAGGTCTCCTCTCTGGTGTTTTCAACTGTTTTCCCCAAAAGACCACATTAAGCGCACTTGCTTTTGTCATTTTAACACTGACTAAACACACAGCAAAAGTAAACAAAACACTTTCTTTCTTCTTATATGGCACAAACTTGGATTTTTTCATAATCCACAACTTAAATTATTTTCTGCTTACTGTACTGGGAAATCACTAAAGCTCAGAAATTTAAAGCTTGAAAAACAACAACATTTGTTCATCCTGTAATGTTCACAAAGTAAGTAAATGATAGCTGTCTATGAAAGCCTTTTCCCCCCTTACCAAATACGTTCTGTGTTTACCTGAGTACGTTATTTACTTCAACTTCTTATCATTTTCTTGCTGTGCTGCTGAAACATACTTAGGAGCTGAAAAAGTTTAGGAGAAGCCAGACCTCGTGGTTCATTTTCACATGCTAAGGTCCTCAAATTGGTTCCTGAGTTCTGCACACACAGAGGCATTTGGTTTGGGCTACCTTGCTTATTTACCCAGAAATGCCAAGCTTTATATAAAGTGGTATGTGTGTTTTAGCTCTTTGTCATCTGAAGATAATATCATCTACAAAATGCATCGACTCAGCTAGCCAGATGCATCCTGGAAATAGAAAATACTCTTCTTTCTGTCAGTCTTTCAAAAATGCTGCAAAGTGTAATATGGAATTTTCCACATCTCCAATGCTAGAATTTCAACCAGAACCAATGGAAGGGTGCTTCTTTAACAGGAAAATGAAGTGAGGACTGGAAAGAGCCCTGGGCCTTAGCATTCAGAGAACAGCTTGTCACATGGTGTGCTCACTATACACTGAACTATCTTGAAGAGATTTTTAAACTTTCTAAGATCAGCTTTATCTTCATATATAAAACAGTTGATAAAGTGCCTGACCATCCTATAAATTCAATAAGACTTTTGCAAGCCCACAAGTAATTTTAGAAGACCTATTAGTTACTTCTATAACTGAATGACTTGGATCCAACCTGAAAAAGCTGTCAATATGGAAAGGAAGTAATAGATATGAAAGCCCACCCCTCAGTACCTGGCACAATAAGGGATTTGGCATATGTCTGCTCACTCCAAAACAAGACTAATTATATTGAGGACTGATGAGCGTAACTCTTGGTGATGCATCATTTTATGTGTCATCTTGATTAGGATATGAAACTCAGTCATTTGGTCAAACACCAATTCACATATTTTTTCATAATCCACAACTTAAATTATTTTCTTTTCTCTCTCTCTCTCTCTCTCTCTCTCTCTCTCTCTCTCTCTCTCTCTCTCCCTCTCTCTCTCTCTCCCTCCGCCCCCCCCTTCATGTGTGTGTGTGTGTGTGTGTGTGTGTGTGTTCTATTGGATTCTACTTCCCTTGACAGTCCCAATATACCATTTGAATTTGGAATCCCTCAAAATATATATCCCAGTATATAGCTGGCTTGAAAAACCAGGTATTATAACTGGTTTTTAAAGGCTAAAAGAACTAAAAGGTTGGTTACATAAATTCATAGTAGAGACATAAATAGTACATGTACTCAGGCAGGAATAATTTGGGGAGGGCATTATTCAGTAAATGGGGATCACAAATGGAGACTAACTTTTAGAGTTGTTAAGAAGTTTTAAACAGTTATTATTTACCTTATTTCAAACAATATTAGGACAGTGCCAGCTACTGAGAGGTTCACAAATATTTAACTAGTACCAATATTTTCATCACCATCATCATTACCATCTTTATTATTCTGAGGTATGTGCCTTTCGTATCTGTTTGGGGAATTATTTAATCCTGAAAACTACTCCCTGTGGCAGATGTTACATGTCCATTTGGTAGAAATTGAAAACAAAGATTAGTAAATTGGTCCAAGGTCATACAGCTAATAAAATGGTAAAGCTTAGGAATAAATAAAACAGAAATAATAACTAACTGTTGCAATGCTTTAGAGCAATCAGCTTCTTCTCTGCTTAAGTACTTTTAAGAAGTTATTTAAATAAGGAAAACAAAAGGATGGTTTGAAAAGAATCAAGCACATATGTGGGAGGAAAAAACCCTCATAGAATGGTTTCCTATAAATTCAACCATATGGATACAAGAGCAACTTTCACTTAACATTTTGAAGAAGCTACAATGTGGTTCTGTCATGAATTTAGATGTGTTAAACTAAGACCTTTAGTTTTTAACTAAGAATTTAGTTTTTAAATAATTACTTCTCAATTTCTAGTTTAATTTATATAATAATTTCTTAGAAAGAATCTAACTTCTTAGAAAGAGCCTAATTGACAAATGTGGATTCCTATGCTCAGGGTAGTTTGTCTACTACCACCCCAAAGTATTTGGTTCAAAACCAAGTCTTTTTAAGCTTGGCAGAGTCCTTTTAAAAAGTGGCATAGTCTCATAAATTAGTGAATTCCAATATGCCACATGCCATTGTATGTTCCTGCAATAATAAGTCTGAAGTCATTTTTGCCTTTTGGGGTTATAAACTGTATGCAGTTATTAAAGGTCATAATTACTTTTCCCCAAAACTTTAGCTACATTTAAATATTTGCAACCATAAAAAGCAAACATAGGTCATCAATGAATTTTTACGTTTAGAAGACATTTGCAAGAAACTATTTCAATCAATTCACAGCTAATATTAACATAAAGGATTGAGAATAATTGGTCGCTTACCTTGAGATTCTCCTGTTCCACTGTGGTCAAACAGCTTAATTGATCGATTATAAAGAACTCTATCATCACCTTGCAGGGGTGTTAAAAGAACACACACATGGTAAGTTTCTCATCAGCTAATTTATAGATATGCAAATGTAATTACAAGAAGTTATTAATCATCATGGCTATTTAGTTGCATTATGGGCCATAGACACAAATTCTATTCAATGTGCTGCCTTGTTCTCAAAAATTTCTTTTGTAAATCAATGATGATTGGAACAATGATTTTTAAATGTGTATTGCAAGGCATGCATAATAGGATACTTCACCAACAAAAAGAATCTCACATTCAATGGATTATGACATCTATTACTCAAGAATCATTTCAGAATAAGCCATTGCATTTTGTTAAATAATACAATAGAATATTTAAGTGTTTGATCAAAATGAATGAATGTTTTCCATTAGCTTATATGTATTATTTTTTTTACTATGCATATATAAGAAACAACAAACTTTGGTGGTCTTGTATTCTTTTGCATATGTTACTATATTGGATAGCAATAAAATAGCATATCTGAAAGGAGGAATCCTCATATAATGACATGTATAAAAAAATACAAGGGCCTCTTAGTTCTTTTGTGAATTTAAAGCAACAATGCCATGATGGTATCAACCTCCAGCCAAAAAAAAATCACAAAAAAATTCACAAAAACACATTTCTTGAAGAAGGTTTAAAAGGTAATTTAGATATGTCTCCTGCCACTAGATAAAACCTAACATAAATAATTCAATTTGGATGACCACCCCAGTCTTAGAATTAGAACTTTCATACATACATCAATACATCAAACATGTTTCTGTTCCCATGGGAGGCAACTAAACTGTGTTTGCAATTTTACTGTGCTGTTTTTGATATGGCACTTTGATTTCTATTACTTATCACTTGGTTACCTGTGAGTGGACCAAAATTCTGTAGATGATGGCTAATTCTATAACTCGCACATGAAACTACCAAGCATTCTAGAAAAACCCTCTGAGGTTCTCATTCTTCACATTGAAAGTTTCTGTGAATTCTAGGCTCCCCCTCTTATTCATACCTGAGATTCCTTGAACAACAATATTGGAAAACATCCAAGGTTTTCTATACTCACAGATTTGGGATGACTAAACAGGAAAACCTAGGTTGCCAGGGTAGATGTTTGAGAATGTGATACAAAAAAGCCTATAAAGTTAGTGGTTTCTGCTCATTGTTTGATCCAGATAGCCTTTTCAAATATTGGTTGACCCACAGATTTTCTTTTCTTGCCAAGAGCCAGTACAGACCTCCTAACATCCCCAATGCTTAGGGTATGATGGGCCATTTTGTAGATTACGTGAAGCATGCTTACTGCAGAATTGCCTAAATCTTCATAACTCTTAGTAGAAGAGTCACAAAACTTATAAAGCTAACAAATCTTATGAGCACTATCCAAGGCAGAGACAAGGAAGTCTATGCCAGTGTAGTTAATATAAATACACCATCTTCAGCACACAGAAAGCTGGACCTGTGTCCAAATCCCAGGACTGCCTCTAAGTAGCTCTGTAACCTTGGGTGCAGTTTCTCAACATCCCTCAGCTTTAATGTCCTTTCCTATAAAACTGGACAGTTGTGAGGTTAAGATGGTAACATGCACAAAGCACCTGGCTTCATTCTTGACATGCAGTAGCCACTCCGCAAAGAGGAGCCACCCTTATTTGTTTGTATTGTTACGTACTTAGTAATCATCTGAGTGCAGTGGGGGTACTGAGCACGTGAAGTTTCATAGGTCTTCATGTCAGCAAATAGATATTGAGCACCATTTGCAAGCTAAGCATTGTGCCATGTCCTAAGATATGTAAAGTCTAGAGGAGAAGAAAGCACTAAAGAAATAATTATAGCAACAAATGTGTAGCTAGTAACTGGGGTCCTGCCAAACGGGAAAGAGACATGGTGATGAGAATAAGCAGAGTTTCTTCCCTATATCTTGGATTTTTGATAGCATGACAGTTCCCAAAGTGGAGTATTCCAAGTGTGTAAGTTGTGAACCACAAATCTCTTTAGGCACAGTTTCAGACAATTCACAGCATTACTTCTATCAGACTCTGTGGATTAAAGAATATAATAGGGACAGTCAAGGAGAAATAAGGAAATAGATGCCACTTTTGAATAAGAGGAGTGGTAATGAATTTTCTGTCATCTTTAACCAAAAATATCATCCCACTGACTTTAATTAAAGTCATGGACATTCAACAAATAACTACCAAACTAACCAATACTTCTAAATTGACTTTTCAACTTTTAGAAGTTAATGTATATAACTAAACTGAATTTTTCCATGTTACAATGTTACAATGCACTAAGATGGGTGAAGCAGTCTATTCAGTTAGGAATTTTTCAAATATTAACATGACTTATTAGATTTGTGGACAGCAAATATAATTATCTCTTCATTTATTAAAAATAAATGATTTAAGACAAAAAAAGAATAATCAGAGTTAGGTTTGGTGGTTAGAGAGGACAGAGACTGTCAAATCAACAAACCCTCACAGTTCTGTAAAAGAATTATTATTAAATGTAACCTGTGATTATTAATTTTATGTGTCAACTTGACTTGGGTATGGTACCCAGTTGTTTGCTCAAACACTAGTCTAGTTGTTGTGAAGGTATTTTTTTAGATGCTATTAACACCTAAAGCAACCAACTTTGAGTAAAGATTAACACTGAAATCAGTGGACTTTGAAACAGATTACTCTCTGTTATATAGATGGGCCTCATCCAATCAGTCGAAGGCCTTAAGGGAACACTTAAGATAGAAATATATCAATTTCCAGTCTGCTGCTCTTCAAAATTCGGACTCAAGACTGCAACATCAATTCTTACCTGAATTTCATATCAATTCTCACCTGACACTCCAGCCTGTCAGCTGCCAGACTGCCCTACAAATATATTTGGCAGACCCCACAATTGAGTAGGTGAACCAGTTCTTCTCTCTCTCTCTCTCTCTCTCTCTGTCTCTCTCTCTCTCTCTCTCTCGCACACACACACACACACTATATATATATATATATGTAAAACATGTATGTATGTTAGAGAAAGTATGATCCTATTGGCTATTTGGAGAACTCTGAAAATCCACCAATTCACATCGCCCTCATTGGGTCATGTGTAACCAGCACATGGCCTCACGTTGTTTATTAGTTTTGGGGCAGATAACGATCATACTTTTTATGACTGAGACACTAACTGCTGAAGACACAATGATGGACGAACAAGACCCACAGAGTCCCTGCCCACATGGAACTTCTATTATACTCTCTCTTCTTGAAACCATATGTAGTACAGGGCTTAGGAGCATTGTGCATGTTTATGAAAGCACTCTAAAGGGGGTAGAACCATATAGCAAATCAATCTTTTACCAGTCACTTGTATTATGTGGGTATTCACAGTTTCAGAGTAATAAAACATAAGTTATAGAGCACTTGACTCCAGGGTCAATTCCAACTGGCCAGAACCCCCCACAGACTTCCTCTTCTGCTTTCTTACCCTTGTGTCCTTGCTCACTGGATAGGAAGTACCGAGATTAGCTTTGTGTTTGTTCCAAAGTCCCAAATTAGAGCTGCTAAGAGGAAGCTTTGGAGAAGCATGTCAGCACAATGGAACTGTCATAAAAGACACGGCCTCAGATCGCAAGTGTCCTCTCCTAGGGAGCTAGCTCTCAGGCAGAGGCCACAGCCCAACAAGCAGGGTGCTGGGAAAAGAGGTGGAATGTGAGATGAGGCTTCCCAGTCTGTCTCTCTAATTGCCTTCACTGACATGCAGAGTCTGGTTAGTACTCTACCAGAATTCCTCAGTCCCACATAAATGTTGGCCAGCTGTACTGCTTACAGCGTATACTTCGGGTTATTATATTTTCAAGGTAGGTAGAAATTTAAACAAAAAAAGTCTTTCGTTCTCCATCCTTCTTATAAAATGTGTCTAAAATCTTTTATAAAATCTATGACACTTGATTGACTTAAGAGAGTATTTGAGTCAATCAAATCTGTATGTACTTACAAAGAATTTTATATGACCTTTAGGTCATTATTCTTACTGTATACGAATCCAGCACAAGTATTTGACATTCAGGAAATTAAACTGAGTGCAAGGTAAAAAAAAAAATAGAGCACTTAGGAGACTGGAGAGAAACACTGTTCAACTACAAATCCCTACTTCATGCAGGAGAGGCAAATAGTACAGATAAAATGAATAACAAGAATCCTTGCCTATTTGAAAGGGAAAATAAATCTAATGTGTCTTGTCTTTCCAAATGACAAGGAATATAGAGACTATAAATAAATATAATAAAATTCATTTTCCAGTTAAGAAAACTTTTTGGAAAGAAGAAAGGAAAGAAAAACAATAAGGAAAAGAAAACTGGAAGCAGAAGAGAATAAAAATGGGCTGGCAGAAGGAAGTAGGGGAGTTGAAAACAAAATACAGTAGTGAAGGAGAAGACTTGCTGGGACCCCTCTGCTGGGGGACAGCTGGGCCATTCCTCCCTTGGCACACACCAGTGCAGACTGGACTGTGGCAGGTGTAGAGGACCAGCTGCATGCCCTGAAATGTGGAATCTAGATCAGCCACAGGAGTTGGCCAACATTAGCTGACCATGGCATGGGATAAGTGACCAACAATTCAGGTTGAGTATCCCTAATCTGAAAATATGAAATCCTAAATGTCCCAAATTCCAGAACTTTTGGATGTTGACATGATACCACAAATGGAAAAACTCCACACTATGAAACATTCATGCACAAAGTTATTTAAAATATTGTATAAATACAAATAGGAAAAGAAACTGTCAAAATATCCCTATCTGAAGATGATATGAGCCTATATATTAAAGACCCAAAAAACTCTACCCAAAAACTCTTACACAGCATAAACAGGTACAGCAAGTTGGCAGGATACAAAATCACCTTACAAAAATCATTAGCTTTTCTATACACCAACAATGAACAAACTGAGAAGGAAAACATGGAAACAATTCCATTTACAATAGCCTCAAAAAAAAAGTACCTAGGAGTAAACTTAACAAAAGATGTGAATGACCTCTACAAGGAGAATTAGAAACTCCTGAAGAAAGAGATCAAGGAAGACTACAGAAGATGGAAAGATCTCCCATGCTCTTGGATTGGTAGAATCAACATAGTAAAAATGGCCATTCTACCAAAAGAAATCTACATGTTTAATGCAATTCCCATCAAAATCCCAATGGCTTTCATCACAGAGATTGAAAAATCTACCGTTAAGTTCATTTGGAAACAACAGAGACCACGAATAGCCAAGGCAATACTCAGCAAAAAGAGCAATGCTGGCAGTATCACAATACCCGACTTCACACTATATTACAAAGCAATAGCAATGAAAACAGTACGGTACTGGCACAAAAACAGACACGAAGACCAGTGGAACAGAATAGAGGACCCGGATATGAATCCACACAACTATACCCACCTTATTTTTGACAAAGAGGCCAAAAATATACAATGGAGAAAAGACAGCCTCTTCAACAAATGCTGCTGGGAAAAGTGGTTATCCATCTGCAAGAAACTGAAACTAGATCCATGTCTATCACCCTGTACTAGTATCAACTCAAAATGGATCAAAGACCTTAATATCAGACCCAAAATTCTGAAGTTACTATAGGAAGGAGCAGGAAACACTCTGGAACTAATAGGTATAGGCAAGGACTTCCTCAATAGAACCCCAGCAGCCCAGCAACTAAGAGGAAGAAAAGGCAAATGGGACTTCATAAAATTAAAAAACTTCTGCACAACAAAAGAAATAGTCAGTAAACTGAAGAGACCACCCACAAAGTGGGAGAAAATATTTGCCAGCTATCATCAGACAAAGGACTGGTAATCAGAATATACAAGGAATTTAAGAAACTAAACTCTCCCAAAATCAATGAACCAATTAAGAAATGGGCAACTCAGCTAAATAGAACTTTCTCAAAAGGAGAAATTCAAATGGCCAAAAAACACATGAAAAAATACTCACCATCTCAAACCACAAAAGAAATGCAAACCAAAACCACACTAAGATTCCACCTCACCCCTGTTAGAATAGCCATCATCAAAAATACCAACAATAACAGGTGTTGGCGAGGATGTGGGGAAAAAGGAACGCTTATACACTGCTGGTGGGATGCTGGTACAACCACTCTGGAAAAAAATTTGGAGGCTTCTTAAAAATCTAAACATAGATCTGCCACATGCTCCAGCAATCCCACTCCTGGGGATATACCCAAAGAAATGCAACACAGATTACTCCAGAGGCACCTGCACACCTATGTTTATTGCAGTGTTATTCACAATAGCCAAGTTATGGAAACAGCCAAGATGCCCCACTACTGACTAATGGATCAAGAAAATGTGGTATTTATACACAATGGAATTTTACTCAGCCATGAAGAAAAATGAAACTTTATCATTTGCAAGTAAATGGACGGAACTGGAGAACATCATTCTGAACGAGGTTAGCCAGACTCAGAAGACCAAAAATCATATCTTCTCCCTCATATGCGGTCTTTAGATCTAGGGCAAATACAACAATGTTGTAGGACTTGGGTCACATGACAAAGGGAGAACACATATGGGAGGTATGGGGTTAGACAGAAAACCCAAAACATGAAAGCATTTGATGTCTCCAATCCAGAGGAATTAATACAGAAACCCTAAAGTGACAGAGGTCAACACGAGAAGGGGATCAGGAACCAGTGTAAAGATCAGTTAGAGATGAATCAACTTGAGTTGTAACACATTTCTACATGGAAGCAATGCTAGGAATCTCTCTGTATAGCTGTCCTTATCTCAACTAGCAAAAATGCTATGTCTTTCTTATTATTGCTTATTTCTACTCTTCAACGGAACTAGAGAAAAGCGCAGAACAGTTCTGCCTGGAAGGGAGTGGTGGGGGAGAGGTAGAAGCGTGGACAGGAGGGAGAAATGACCCAAACAATGTATGCATATGTGAATAAATGAATAAAAAAAAGAATTGTTCTGTAAAAAAATAAAATAAAATATTGTACAAATAATCTCCAGGATGTGTTTAAGTACATACACACATGAATGAATTTCATGTTTAGATATAGGTTCTATCCCCAAGATATCTCATTATGACTATGTAAATGTTTCAAAATATGAAAAAAATCCAAACTCGGAAACACTTATAATTCTGGATAAGGGATTCTCAACCTGTATTTTGTTCTATGATATTATCCATGTATAATTCTTCATTCTTTGTTCACTCAACATATCTTATTAAAATGTCTTTCTAAATTAGAGACCTTGCATCACAAAAATTCAACCATATATACCCACCCATTGTGGTCTGTAAGAGAGCTTAAACAGACTTCAACTAACAATTCAGTTGACGCCCTTCTCCCCAGAAGACACTGGGATTGTCTTTCACCCATCAGGTGTGCCTAGTTAAATAAAACGTTAAGATTTTCTAGTTTCAAATTCACCATGACTTTTGAACTACTGTTGAAAACTAGCCCTAACACTAGCTCTTTATTTTACCTTGCAAAAATCTCTTATATTTGTGGATATTGCATTATTTAAAAATCAGTTTAGATTTATTGAAAACTAGTTTGTAAAATAATCTTTCCACTGCACTTGTGAGAGTGTAGTCCGGTCTTTCACTAAAAAGTGTAAGTTTGATGACTGGTATCTAGTAGCGGAATGGAATTTTCTGTATGAGTCTGAGGAACTTTTGTGACCATCATTATCTCATCAATAATCTTTGTAAATCCTAGAGTGTTTTGTAAACTTTAAAATCTCAGAGTGGTATACACCTAAGAAGCAATTTTAAGTTGTTACTTTACAACCACAACTAGATTCAAGATTAGAGATGAGTACATTGTTATCATAATTCTGCAGTATCATGATTCAAAACTTAGGTGGTGGCTTCCTGCTTTGGCACTCTCATGCACTAGGCATAGATGTACTGAAGGATGCTCATTTTAAATTCTCAAAGCAGACATGCGCTTACAAAGTGGCAATTCCTCTTCAACACATAAAGTGGGCCTCAGAATGGCACCAAACATCTCACAGTAGCGTCAGATGAAAGCAGATTGATGCTTCTTTCATCTGCTCAGCTTGCAGTCCTTGATCAAAATTACCTCCACTGCCCATCATGTCGTTAATGGTTAAAACTTACCATTTAAATTGTAAACTGGAAAATCTAAACAGAACTGCATGTGTGATCTTTGTCACCTCATTTTCATGAATGGAAAAGAATATTCTGACACAAAAATTACATACTTAATTCTGGCTCACCCTCTCTGCTGACCTCCATCCCGCACTGCCTTGGGTTTATTTCCTCATCCATCAGTGGGTCAAAGTAATTTCTGCTGTACTCATTTCCTGTGGAAAGTACACGAGGTAAGGGTCAGTGATTATTAGAAGCACATGAACCAAAATGTTAATTTTGAAATCGACACCAGCACAGAAGGACCATTTTAGCTACTTTATAAGCTTAACTTTTTTACAAGTTTTCCAGCCCTCTCTTTTTTTAGTAATTATCATCTTGCAAAAGGTCAGGAAAGGTAATTCAAGAAACAAGTTCACGCTATCTTTCTGCTGCTGAAAAGTTAATGAGAAAATTATGAAATGCAAACTTTAAAATAATAATAATTAAAAAATGAAAAAGCTTAAGCCCAACTATTTTTGCATATACTCAAGAAATGGACATTGTTGGGTTGTAATAACGTGGAATACATTAACAATCCTATTAACAGACTGTATTTCATTAAATATATCCTATTGTGGCCAGATTCTGTAACCAACCTAGTAGTGTTTTAACTGTGAGAAAATAGCAGAAGCTCCACATTTACATGTGAAAAGGGAGGAAGGAAGATGGAAGAAGGGAGGAAAGAAGCAAGGAAGGAGGGAGGGAGGGAAAAAAAAGAAAAGAGAAAGGCCTGCTTACAGGTCTTTTTAATGTCAAATTGAGTAGCATGAGGAGAGATTCAAGTGAGTTAGCCAGAAATTTTATTCAACACACATCAACAATCTCAACACCACAACCCAAAATTTCTCACTTCTCATTTCCCACTTATTCTGTCCTTATCTGAATATCCGAAGTATGGCATCAGGTTTGACTTTGTAATAGAGAAAAAGGTCTGCTATCAATTTTCCAAATCTAGTTTCATACTTCCTGCAGACTGAAATGTATATGTCTGTTGCTAGTAATTTGCATTCCGTGAAATGTAACCTATTCTGACGATAATTCAAGTTGCCTCAGACATTGCAAAAGAAATAAGTCCTTGCAGAAGGAAAACAACAACTTTGAGAGTTCGACTCACGGACAAAGGTGAGTATCTCTTGGGTATCCTGTAGTACTCTGTAGTCCTTTTGTTTTAGGATCAAAAGTAATCCAAACAGCAGCTCCTTTTCCAAGGTTAAGAGAAATGTTGATGAGCCTAGGTCTCATTTCTGTTTCCAGGCCAGCACATTTTTTGCCATCAGTCTGTTTTATCAACATTAGTAAATATAAGAACTGAAAATTCGCTTTACCTTGAGGTCTCAATAAAGAAAAGATTAATGTTTCATTTTTCTGAATCTGTCAACAACTACTAGGCTGGGATGAATCTTGGTGGTATATCATCAATGTCTTTTTTGCTTTCTTTTTTTGTGTGTGTGGGGATCAAACCCAGGGCCTTGTGCATGGTGTAAGGTGCTCTACCACTGAGCTACATTCCCCCAACTCTTTGGGGGTTTTTTGAGGGCAACAGGGCATTGAGTTTTTTAACTATTTTTATTAATGAATATTAATTGTACAAAGTAAGGGATTCCATTGTGATATTTCCATACATACATATGCTGCACTTTGATTATGTTTATACCCACTATTACTCTTCCTTATCCCCTCTCCCCACAATCCCTCCCTCTTCTTTTTAACATACTTAAAGATTTTTACTTTTCCTTTATTGTTGTGCTGGATGGGGATACATTGTGGCATTTACATTTATAAAAGTTCTTGCAATGTATCAAATATATCAGATTTGAATTTACCCCCTCTCCCCTCTCCTTCATCCCTCCTCCCCCGATTCCTGGAATAGTTTCAACAGGTATCATTTTTGCATTTACATACGTGTACACATTATTTGCACTGTATTCATCCTCCTATCCCTTATCCATGCCACTAGTGCTAACCCCACCCCCTCCACAGATTCTGTCCCTCCCTCCTGTTCTGATTTTGTAGAAGAAAAAAGATAAAAATAAAAACATGATGTTTTTGCTAGTTTGGGATAAAGATAGCTATACAGGAAGTTTCCTTGTGATATTTCCATGCATATGTGTATTACCCAGTTGGTTCATCTTCTCTAGTCCTCTTCACTCATCCCTAGCCCCCTTCCTATGGTGGCCCAAGCCAGGATAAGATTTCTGTATTCATTCCTGCATAAAAAGCACGTCAACCACATTCAAGTTTTTAATTTCCTTCACTTGCCCTATCCTCCCATGTACCATCTCCCCTTAGTGTGACCCATGTCTCAAAATATTGCTGCATTTGTTTTAGGTCTATAATATACATATGAAATAAAACATGCAATTTTTGACCTTCTGAGTCTGACTAACTTCAGTTAAGATGATGTTCTCCAGTTCCATCCATTTACCTGTGAATGACAAAATTTCATTCTTCTTTGTGGCTGACTAAAATTCCATTGCATGTAAATACCACATTTTCTTTGTGGAATTTGTCAGTTGTGGGGCATCCTAGCTGTTTCCCTAGCTTAGCAATTGTGAATAGTGCTGCAATAAACATGGATACAGGTGCCTATGTTGTAAGCTGACTCACATTCCTTCCGAAATATCCCTAAGAGTGGTATTGCTGGATCATATGGCAGATCTATTTTTAGTTTTTTAAGGAGCCTCCATGCTGTTTTCCATAGTGGTTATACTAGCTTACATTCTCACCAGCAGTGTAAAAGGGTTCCTTTTTCTCTGTATCCTCACCAACATTTGTTGTTTTTGGTGTTCTTGATGGTAGCTATTCTAACAGGAGTGAGGTGGAATCTTAGTGTGGTTTTTGATTTGCATTTCTTTGCATTTCCTTTATGGTCAGGGATGGAGAACATTTTTCCATGTGTTTTTTTAGCCATTTGGACTTCCTCCTTTGAACAGGCTCTGTTCAGTTCATTTGCCCATTTCTTCATTGGGTCATTGATTTGGGGGGAGTTTAATTTTTTGAACTCCCTGTGTATTCTGGTTATAGTCCCTTGTCTAATGTATAGCTGGCAAAGATTTTCTCCCATTCTGTGGGTGGCCTCTTCAGTTTAGAAACCATTTATTTTCTTGTGCAGAAGCTTTTTAATTTCATGTAATCCCATTTGTCAATCCTTTCTCTTAGTTGCTAAGTCAACTGAGTTCTACTGAGAAAGTCTAGCTTTGTTTCAGGTTTTATATTAAGGTTCTTAATCCACTTTGATTTGATACTTGTAGGGTGACAAACATGGATCTAGTTTCAATTTTCTGCAGGCAGATATCCAGTTTTCCCAGCAACATTTGTTGAAGAGGCTGTCTTTTCTCCATCATATGTTTTTTGGTACCTTTGCCAAAAATGTGGTGGGCATAGCTGAGTGGATTCATATCCAGGTCTTCTATTCTGTTCCACTGGTCTTCATACCTGGTTTTGTGCTGGTACCATTCTGTTTTTATTGCTGTGGCTCTGAGTTTGAAGTTGGGTATTGTGATAACAGCACTGCTCTTTTTGCTCAGTATTATCTTGGGCTATTCATGGTCTTTTCTTACAATATTTTTAAATGGGTCTCATTGTGACATTTTCGTATGAGTACACAATGTGCTTTGATCATATTCTTCCTCATACCCTCTCTTTTATCCTCTCTGTTATCACTGGTTTTCCTCCAAACAGTCTACCTTTTTATCTTGTTCTTTTTTTGATATCTAGATTCTGCATAAGAGAGAAAATGTGTTATTTGTCTTGCTGAGTATGGCTTATTTTGCTTAACATTATGATCTCCAATTCTATCCATTTTCCTGAAAATTACATAATTTCATTCTTATTTATAGGCTAAATAATACTCCATTATGTTTATTTGCCACATTTTTTTATCCATTCAACTGTTGATGGGCACCTGCACTGATTCCATATCTTGGCCAGTGCTGGAATAAAAATGGAATGCAGGTATTTCTATTGTATGCTGACTTACTTTCCTTCGGATATATGCCCAAGAGTGGTATAATCAGTTCATATCGTAATTCTAGTTCTAGCTTTTTGAGGAAACTCCACATTGATTTCCAGAGTAGCTGTTCTAATTTACATTCCCACTAATAGTGTATAAGGTTGCTTTTTCTCTGCATCCTCACCAACATTTGTTGTTTCTTGTTCTCTTGATAACACCCATTCTGACTGGGGTGAGATGGAATCTCAATGATGTTTTTATTTGCATTTTTTTATAGCTAAGAATGTTGAACACTTCCTCATGTGTTTATTGGATATTTGTACTTCTTTTGAGAGCTGTGTTCATTTGCCCATCTTTTAATCGGATTATTAGTTCTTTTTGTAATCCAATTCTCATGTACTGCTCCAGCACCAAACATTCTACATTGTATGTTGCAATTGCATGTTTGTTTGTTTCTATCACAATGAACAGTGATACTCTAAGCACATGCTTTTACATTCTGGCAAAATATCTCAAGTATATTAAAGCAAGGATGGGAGCATATTCCTTATTATATTGTCTTACCAGCATCAGTCATCAAATAGTGCCCATAATAGCTTGGAAGCTTCTCCAACACAATACAAAACTCAAGTTCATTGCTTGATAAAATAATAACATCAAGAAATAAAATAATAATAATAATAATGCCTAGTAAATAATACCAAGACAATCAAGGCCTTAGAAAAATTAAATCATCCTTAATAAGAAGGGCTGGAAAAGTGTACAGTGTATTTTCTATACCCATGGATTCCATACCTGTGGATTCAGCCAATGACCACCAAAAATATGCAGAAAAAATTGCATCTGTATGAACATGCACACATTTTACTTGTCATTATTTCCTAAACAATATGGTGTAACAACTATGTACATAGCATTTACATTGTATTACATCTAGAAACAAGTTAAAGTATTCAGAAGGATGTCCATAGGTTCTGTGCACATATTATGCCATGGATGTACTTGAGTATCCGTGGATTTTGGTATGGAGATTCCTGAAACAAATCCTCCTCAGATACCAAGGGATGGCTGTATTTGGTTTTTAGTTCCCAAACCATTTTCATCATTCTGTCAGGTGAGACATTGGGGTCTGCCCATATGTGCATGAAGGAAGCTTGCACATTAGGAGTTGTTCAAACCATGGTCTCCCTTCAGGGCTCTGGGTTGGTGAACACTTGTAAG